GGCAACCACAACTATATACAGTAATGAATTATGCTCCCAAGGCAGGGAGACCCATTGTGCTGACTGCCACCAGATGAAAGGACAAGGCCTGACCTGTTTCCTTGGAATGCTGGGTGAAACCTTTAACCACCTTACAAATCAGATTTCATGGCAGAAGATATTTTCCTCAGGGACCATCCTAATTCCCAGGGCTTTAGAGTTCACTGAAGGCAGGTGCCAGACTCAGGGAGCTAACTGTGATTGTGTCCCTGACACAGAAAGCCAAGCTCAACTCCCAGTACCCTTGGCCAAGGGGGTCACTCCTGAGATTTATAGCCTCCTCCCTTTCCATCTTATCCTCATGTCCCAGTATGAATAAAAATGGAACCAAAGAAGTTGTGGAAGACCCAGCACAGTGGGAGGCAGATCTTCCTTCCACACCTGGAGTTTTGCATGACTAGTGGGTTTAAAGAGGGATGTGTTGAGATTTTGACCAAACTGAGAGTGAGGAAAGGGAGATGGGAGGGATGGGGTAGGAGTTTACCATTGTTCATCTCTGTATTCTTATTTATTTATTTTTTTAAATAATCTAAATAGATTTGATTTCTCAATTTTGAGCAAACTCTACAAAAGAAGATTTTACCTATGTCTTTCAGAAATATTTAGAAGATATGAAAATGTATTTTGATGCAGAACCACAGTCTGTTAACTTTGTGGACGCTTCTGATCAAGTCAGAAAGGAGATCAACTCTTGGGTGGAAAGCAGGACTGAAGGTACACTGTCACCAAGGGGCTGGGTGCAGGGTTCTCCCAGCATCGCTGCATAATTGAATTTGTGCCTTGTGTAACTGTGTGTATCTCTTTTTTTTTAACATATATTTTTTAGTTGTAGGTAGACACACAATATCTTTATTTTATTTTAATGTGGATGCTGAGGATCGAACCCAAGGCCTCAGGCATGCTAGTTAAGCGCTCTACCATTGAACCACAACCCCAGCTCCTAAATGGAACTATAGACATAGTGTAAATATTCAAAGCTTCTATATGTGTTTATTCCCATACTCTTTAGACTTTCAACTTTCCCAGTAAGTTTCAAGTGAAACCCAGAATCCCAATCACTACTCTACCCAGTGGACAAGAGAAGGATCACAGCCCACTAATTCCAAAGAGGCATCCGGGTTTTAAAAGCAGGAAAGTGCAAAGAAGGAAATGTGAAATGCTGCTGTAGTTGTGGATTTTAAATAAATAATAACTACTAACAAATAACAAAAATGGGGCATTAAATATGCTACATTATCTTAAGTAGTTTTCAAAATAAGGTGGTGTGTTAGAGTATGGGCTGAGAGGTGATCTGGAGGCAAGATGTCCAGGTGCAGTTGGCCAGCCCCCCTCTGAAGGCACCAGCAAGGCACTTTCTCATGGTCTCCTGGCTTGTGCTGGTTGCTGGCAATCCTTGCCATTCCTGGTGTGCCCATGTATCACTGCAGCCTGTGCCTCTGTTAGAACATGGCTGTATGTGTGTGTGTTTCTGTCTGTCTGTCTCTCTCTCTCTCTCTCTTTTTCTCTTCTTTCTGGTACTGGAGATTGACCCTAAGTGTGTCCTACCACTGAGTTACATCCCTGATACTTTCTTTTGTTTTCTATTTCAAGGCAGGGTCTCCCTAAGTTGCCCAGCCTTTTCTCAAACTTTGGATCCCTCTGCCTAGGCCTCTCTAGCAGTTGGGATCACAGGTGTGTGCCACCAGTACTGGCTCTGTGTGTCTTTTGTGACTCTATCTTCAAAAGGTGTTCTCCTCTCTTTACATCTATGTATCAATTTCCATTTATTAATAAGGATAACAGCCATTGGATTGGGGCTTACCCTAATCCAGTAGAATTTCTTCTTAACTTGATTAAATGTGCAAAGACTATTTCCAAATAAGGCCACATTCTTAGGTACCGAGGGATAAAACTTGACTGGTTCTTTGGCAGGAGTAAGGGAGACAAAATTAAACCTACAACAGTGTGATATTCTTGCAAAAATGCGTAACTGAATATTATCTTGAGGAAACAAACAAACCCAAACTTGAGAATTCTGGGACATTTTACAAACATGGCAAGTATTTTTCAAAGAGTGCCAAGGTCATGGAACAATGAATGATTGAGGACTTGTTACAGATTAAAGGAGATGAAGAAATCACAATCAAATGTAATGGAAGATCTTGATTGACTTATGGCCCAGAAATTAAAGGATTTTATAGGAACAGTTGATAAAATTTGAATATGATCTGTTAATAGTACTGGAGTGATAGGAACTTACTGGTTTGTGTCATTGGTAGAAATAAAATGCTATTTTTTAGGAATATTTTGTAGTCATCATTTTTACCAATGTGGCACATACCAGGATGTAACAATTCCACTTTTTAGTTACTTATTTTTAGAAGATAAGAAAAAATTAATTTTTCTGTGTAAGAGTAAACTCAACACCTGGACATACTTTATTAGTTTTGCTTTTCAGTTAATTCTCCTTGCTTACCATATTACCTGCAAATAATAATTTTGTCTGTTCTTTTTACACAATCATATCTTATTTAGTTTTCTTACTTTATGACATGAGTTACCATTTTGATAAAAATATTAAATAATGGTACTCATAACAGACTATGAATACTACTAGTATTTTTTTGGTAAGCATAATTATGAAAGTGTTTTGGAGAAAAATATTCTTTTTCATATTAAGGAAGTACTCATTCTTTTTAATGTACAATGACATAATTTAAAAATTAGAAATAGTTGATGAAAATAGATCAAAAGTATTTTTATATCCATCAAGATGATTTTTCTCCTATCACCCATTAGAACAATGGCCTCAGTTTGTTTGGGCTGCTATGATAAAATACCATTGCCTGGGAAATGTGTAGATTGTAGAAATAATTTCTTACAGTTCTGGAGGCTGGCAGGTTCAGAATCAAGACGCCTGGGTCTGTTGGGAGCTTACTCTTTCCTTCTAAGAGGACACCTTCCTGCTGTGTCCTCCTGTGTAGAGGGACAAGCAGATCCCTGGATTCCACTCACAGGAATGCTAATCTATCCTGGGGGTAGAGCCCCCATGACCTAATTACTCCCCAGGACCCCATCTCTACAGTGTTGGGTTAAGTATTAGGTTCCAATATATGAGTTTCGGAGGAACACAAATATTCACACCACAACAATAATGCATTATACTAATAGATTTCTTGATATATGTTTCTTACATTCTGACATAATATATATTTATTTTTTAAATTTAACTTGAATTTTTTTATTTATATTCACAAGAGAAATTGGTTTATAGATGGCAATTTTGTGCTTCCTTGGTTGTGTCTTCATACTGGGGATGTGCTAGCTTGATATAAGTAATCAGAGGGCTTTTCATTTTTATGCTGTGAAACTGTAATAGTCAGCTTTATCAGTAATTTGAAAGTTTAAAATAAGTTTAAAAGAATCCATCTTTTTAAATGTCTGGGATGTATTCCCTGTTTTTAAAGGAGGTTTTCAAATTCTCTAAGAAGTAGTCACTTGATTGTTCCGATGTTTATGAGGCGTGTGTGTGTGTGTGTGTGTGTGTGTGTGTGTCCTTTCCCCTTGGTTTTCTACTAATTCTTGCATTTTCTGTTAATATGAAAATTCATCCATATCACCTTTTTAAATGAAGTACTATAAGCTATATTTTTAAAAATCACTTCCATGTCTGTATTTGGACTGTTGAGAAGATTTTGAATAGTTTCTGTTTCTGGGGGAAGCCAAATCAGGTTCTATCTCCATTTATCAAACATGTTGACTTTATAACGCACCTCTAAACCTGATCTTGTGCATTTTTAATAAATCTTTCAAGGTGCTTTAGTGGAGAGTTTGGACAGAATGTATCAGGGGCTGCCTGTCAAAGATCACTTTAAACAATGGCTAGATCAATCTAATATGCACAATTGCAGAAAGCAGTATTTTAGGGGCAGGGGGAGACACTGTCACAATCTTTCAGATTTAATCAGAGAAGTTCACACTGTGTGACTACAAACAGGTGTGAGAGAGAAGAAGCATTTCTGTCTTCTCAAAATAGAGGTACAAATCAACTTGTATTAGAGGGAAGTTTTGTAATTGAAATGCAAATTTATTCTTAATATGAAATAATACTTATTGGCTACTCAGCATATTATTTCTTCTGTGTTTCCCTGTTTTCTCATAGCTACTCTAAACAGAAATAGTACTTAAATTCCTGAATTGACCTGTTTCTGGAAAATCTGAAATAAGAACTTTGAAAGAAAATTTTATGAGTCTAGAAAGATGGAAGTCTGGTTTTATAATTAAAATAGACACATTTCCACTAGCCATTTGAAATGTGTCCTTTTACTCTTGCAGGAAAAATTCTGAATCTCCTACCGGATGACTCTGTGGACTCCCTGACCAGGATGGTCCTGGTGAACGCCCTTTACTTTAAAGGAATCTGGGAACATCAATTTCAAGTGCAAAATACCACAGAAAAGCCTTTCAGAATAAACAAGGTGAGAATTTGAACTTGTGAAAGATCAGCTTGAATTGTCATGTGGCTTTGTAACAGGACCCTATTTTAAATTTGCTCTTCTTTCTGACTATATATTCCTCTAAACTAGGACTCTTACTAGGGAAGGGATGGCTGGGCAAAGCTCTTAGTTCTCTCTCACACAGAAATTCCCCTGTCACTGTTTTTCTCTGACCATGCACATATTTTATCATTTGGTCCCATGAGCTGGGTAGGGTGTGTTCTATAGTTATTTCTCAGTTGAGAAATACAAGGTGGCCAAGGGACTGGAGGCATGAATGAGTGGGAAGGAGATCAGAACCAGAACCTAAGACCCTTCACTACAAGTTCTGTTCTTATTCTACTAAACCAATGCTATCTCCTACCCCATTCTTACCCTTCCATAAGTAAAAGCAGTTAAAATGCTAGATCTCATTTCATTAAGGTTTCTTTCTAATAGACTTGTCCCTATTACAAGCAACAGAAACTCACTTCAGAAAACTGACAAAGTACTTTAGATGCACAACTTTAAAGAAGGAGAGCTTCATTGTAGCTCTTGGTTTCAGTCCATGGTCACTTTTCCTGTAATTTTGGGCCTGTGATGAGGCAGGACATCATGGAGAGGGTGTGTAATGGATCTTACCACTTACAGCCAGAAAAGAAAGAGAGAGAAGCAACTAGGATGGCAGTACCCCCTTCAAGGGCATGCCCAAGGACCTAGGTTCCTTCCCCTAGGCCCTAACTCCCAATGGTCCCACCCTCTCCTAAGAGCAACAGTGACTGAAGATCAACACATGATCTTTGGGAGCTATTTAAGATGCAGTGATACTAGAAAGGAATGAGGCTGGGTCCTTGGATATGAGTGGAAATAACATCTCAAATGTCAGGATTTTTTTATCAAGTTTTTCAACTCTGTACTTCTGTCAGTCTTCTCTCGGGCCAAAGTGTAACTTTCTCTGCTTTTTGATCCACAGTAGCCATAATGGCTACCTACAGCCTTCTCATTTCTAGAGACAGGCTGATGCAACCCATCTGAATTTTTAGGAAGGGAACTGCTGGCCAAGGTTGGTTCCAGTTGTGCAGGCCAGGGTGGTCTTATCACACAAACAGTGCTGCTGAGGACCTCCCGCTGCAACTGTGTTGATGTGTGCAGCAGGGATCCTCTATGGATGGGGCAGGCAGAACACACAGCGCAACAGGCTAATGAGAAATGAGCTGAGTAGTTACTTGAGTTGGAATACTTGGTTACAAGTGATAGAAAAGCATTTTAAACTAGCTCCAACAAAATGGGAATTAGATTATGTCCCTAAGAGGAAGTGGGCAGTCCAATGGGTGGGGTCTGTAGAGTCTCAAAGGTAATCTTAGTTGTCTCTCTCTCACCTTCTCCTTCTGCCCTCACCTCTTCTTCCTGCCTCACCCTCATTCTGTTATACTGAAGATGGAGTCTATGTAATTGACCAGGGAATGTAGCTGCTTCATTCTTAACCTTCTAGTTCCACTCTCCTATTAGAAATGGAAAGTCCTAGCTGTTGGTTCTAACAGCTTGATACCATAAGGATTCTGGTGGGGGGGTCAGACTTGTGCTCACCTGGAAACAGGCACAGTATCCTGGGGTGCTCCCAATAAATGGCCCTGGTCACATGGCCATCAGCTTAGCATAAGGGTGGTACCTTGGGATTGACCTCAGCTCTATGCAGAATGGATAAATAACATGTGTGTACAACATCTGGATTGCAGAAGGTTTTGTTTTGCAATTGACTTTTATTTTAAAATGCTTTATTTTTAGAGCATTTTTTAAAAATTTAGAAAAATTTTTTTCAGAAAGTACCAAGTTCCCATATCCGGCCCTTTAACACGGGTAAACTTTGCAGTATTATTAACATCCTGCGTGGTACATTTGTTATAACTGGTTAGCTCATCTTGACAGCTTAGTATTAACTCTATGGAGCTGATAATATTTCCGGTTCACTCTTGGTGTTGTATTGTTCTGTCATTTTGAGAAATGAATAATGTCACATAGCCACCACTGTAGAATAGATCAGAAGAGTTTCACCACTCTCTAAATGCCCTGTGCTCCACCTGCTCATTCCTTCCACCCAGGCCCTGGCAACCATTGGTCATTTTACTGTTTCCACAGTTTTGACTTCTCTAGCCTTTTCAGGCCAGCTCATTTCCCTTAACAATATGCACTTAGGGACCCTGCATGTATTTTTACATCTTGATAGATCCTTTTGCTTTATTGCTAAATAATTTTCTATTGTGAAGATGTGTCAGAGTTTGTTTAACCATTCAGTTATTGAAGCATGTCTATTTCCTACTAGTTTGGGGTAATAATGAATAACATTGAGATAAACACTCGTGTGCAAGTTTTGTGTGGACACAAGTTTTAAACATATTTGAGTGAAGAGCGAGAAGCACAATTGCTGGATTATATGATAAGGCAATGTTGATCTTAGTCAGACACTGCCAAATTGTCTTCCAAAGTGGCTCTTCCATTTTACATTCCCACCAGCAATGAATGGAACATATCTTTGTCAGCCTGCAGTATTGTTATTGTTTGGATTTTTGCCATTCTAATAGTTGCTTTAACTTGCAGTACTCTAATGAAATATGACTGAGCATTTTTTCATAAGCTAGAATTGCCCATTCATATCTTCTGCCAATGTTTAAAACTGGATTATTTATTTTATTTTTGTTGAGTTTTAAGAATTCTTTGATATTTTAACGCCAGTCCTTTGTTAGATACATCTTGCACATGTTTTCTCTCAGTCTATTGCTTGACTTTCCTTCTTAGTGCATTTCAACTTTTATGATACTTTCTCAAATGTTTGCATGTGAAATATATCTTCTTCAGTTTCTGGATCATTGACAGTTACATAGTTAAAATTATATATTGTTCAAAATATTTTGTAGAATCCACCTTACTATGACCTATAGAGATTTCTGGAATAGTGTTAGAGATGGAACTTTCCTTCCCATTCACCTCTTACCAGTGATACTGTTCAGAATTTCCAAAAAATAAGGTCTGGATAACTTTATTTGGTATTTACCAGAGCATGATCGGTTTCACCAATGTCCTAGACAGCTGGGAACCAATGGTGATCAAGAATTAAGAACTTGGTGGAACATCTCTTCAATGACTTTGCTACCTATTTTTTTTATATATATAGACTACAAGCAAACCAGTGCAAATGATGTTTATGAAAGAGAAGCTTCAAGTTTTTCGTATTGAAAATCCACAAGCCACAGGCCTTCAACTTGACTACAAGGGCTCTGACCTCAGCCTGCTTGTGCTACTGCCTGATGATGACAGCGCACTGAAGCAGGTAAACGTGTCCGTCTCTCCGAGGTGAAGATGGCGCCTGCGTTCACCCTTGTCTTCCAGGGAGAAACTAAGGACTCAGCCTCCCTGCTTCTTAACTCCTGAACAGGAAGGCAATCAGCCAACTTGCCTTGAGCTCTCTGTACTTTACCTTAACAGTATCATTTAAACTTTGCAAAGCTCTATAAAGTTGATATTACTATTACTTGGAGAGGTTAGGGAATCCATAGACACCTCTAACATGGGCTGGTTACACAAAGATACACATGTATAACAGAGATAGATTCTCTTTGCCAGGTACAGAGCTGTATGGACTGATCATAGGAATCTTTCAGTCTAGGTCTCCTGGTAGAAACTGTGTAATTCAAGGTGTGTGTGTGTGTGTGTTTGTGTGTGTGGGTGTGTGTGAATGTGTGTTGTTGAGGATGAAGGGCCTCATACATGCTATGCTAAGCAGGTTCTCTATCATTGATCTATACCCCCTCCCCAAGATTAATTGTTCTAATCACTTTTGTGTGTGCATGTGTGTGTGTGGTATGTTCTACAACTTTTTTTTTTTACATTTTTTTTCTAAGTCAAAACTTTCACGAAAAAAAACCCCTGTATTGGTGCTATTTTCAGATATTATTTAAGCTGTTTATTAACCAGATTTCTATTAGGCTGGTTGTAATTTTGGCCAGACCATGTTCCTGAGCAGTTATATGCCTTATAGAATGAACACTGGTGTTCGTGCAGTAAATGGCTTTTCCTTGCACTGGGCCTTTCATCTGTGCCAGACTCTTAGTTGTAAGTTTCCATAGCCCCACCGGTATGTAGAAATGATTTCCAAATTATTTCATAAATGTGTGAAACTAAAAAGAATGGTAAAAGACCAGTGTGGACCAGTACCCATGAGTCTCACAGCCTAAGATAAGTTTCTCTTCTTAGGTGTGCAGGGTCCCAAGCTGAAGATACTGTCATGTTATTAATATGCATCATATATAAATATGTCACTAACAGCCAGTGAATGCTTGGGTATAGGAAACTCTCAAAGTAGCAAGAGTGTGCGCTTTTGAAACAAACATGTCATTTAAAAATTCAAACATATACATATATGAACACACATGCATATGTACATATACATTCATATGTACACATTCATTTATTTATTATTTAAAAATTCAGAATATAAAGAGGATAAAATTACCCTCATATTTAATATTGAAAAAAACTATTCCTAAGATTTAGGAGCTTTCATTTTTAAATTTTTCTTTTATGGCATAGTTTATAGTTATTGGGTTTATATTATTGTGATTTTTAGAGTATATAAATTTTATTTTGCCCCAGATTTTGGTTTCAAAGAATTCTCTCCCTTGTTGACTTACAAAACAAAAGGTTCTGCAGGTCCACCCCACAAGGCTATCATTACACAACCAAAAGGATTTACAGCTGTGTGCGTTTGTTACCCTGGGTGAAGGGAGTGATTGCAATTCATCTGTGGGATCCCTAGGGGTCGCTTTTCACCATTTCCCTCTCCTGACTGTTCGTTGGTTCTGATCCGCAGCTGGAAAAGGTGGTCACCTCTGAGAAGCTGAAAGAGTGGACCAGTGAAGACATGATGGAATTGTGTGAAGTGCAGCTGCATCTGCCCAAGTTCAAGCTGGAGGAGAGTTATGATCTCAAGTCCACTCTGAGCAGCATGGGGATGACAGATGCCTTTAGCCAGAGCAAAGCAGATTTCTCAGGAATGTCTTCAGAGAGAAACCTGTTTCTGTCCAATGTTTTCCACAAGGCTTTTGTGGAAATAAATGAACAAGGGTCAGAGGCTGCAGCTGGCACTGGGAGTGAGGTGGCTTTTCGAAGAAGATTCCCCTCCATTGAATTCAATGCAGACCACCCATTCCTCTTCTTCATCAGGCACAACAAAACCAATAGCATTCTCTTTTACGGAAGATTCTGTTCCCCCTAAACCCTGTGTCTCTCACCTAATAAGACTATCTTATGGTGTGAAAAATGCACCATACGATAGAAAACACAGTTATCATGAAAATAAGTGTAGTCTACACCTCTTTTCACTTTTAAATAATGATCTTGTCATTTCTGTATAGCTAGAGATAATGAAGCTTTTTATTTTTACCACACAAGCAGCAGTTTGTCTTAATGTGACTTTGATTTACCTTGCAGAAATGCTATGTTATTCCATCTAATAATTCACAGTTCTTGAGCTACCTGATCATTGTATTAATGTCAATTGCATTTCACATTCATTGATTAGTGTAGAAAATATTTATAAATGCAACATGATATTGAAAAATAAGACATTTTCAAGAATATCATTTGATGACTTAAAAATCCAACATAAAATTAGCTCTCCCTATCTGTTATTTTAAAAAAATACTTATATGGACATTAGTGAGAAATCTAGTGAAATGCAAGCGAAATCCATGATTTATTTAGTAGCAGTGTACCAATCTTGATGTCTTAGTTTTGACAAATGTACCTTGATAATATAAGATGTTAACATTAGGGGAAATTGTATTGGGGGATGTATGGGAATCCTATTATTTTTGCAATTATTCTATGAATCTAAAATTATTCAAAAATAAAAATTTGTTTAAAAATAATTATGTGTAAAAATTCAGTCACACTTGCAGCCTTAATTTTAAAATTATTATGAGCTAGAAGAGTAAATTTCTCATTTATATAAATAGGTGTTATGTTATTTATAACATCATATTTTAATAAAACTAAAATTTCCATAAAATTGGATGTGATTTTACAATTTATTTTATGCCTTATTATCTTCTAATACGAACTTGTTTATTGGTGGTCTCATCAATTACTGTTCTAATTTTAGAGACCAATTTTTGCCATTCAGGTTTGCTTTTTTCCTATTTATCTAATAAAATGTAAAACTGGATCTCATGAAAAGCATACCTATTAGTATAAAATCTATATCCTGAATGGGATCTTGGTCCTGTGTTATAGGATACAAGAATAGTTCTATGCTTTAGCAAAAAAAAAAAAAAAAAAAAGATACAAACTTGTATCATACCTTTATGAAACATTTTGCTTTTATCCATAATATCCTACATTTACTCGCAGTGAAAGCAATCCCCTGTGTTTGCGTTCCAGTAAATTAAAAGCTGATAAATGTTATATATCACTGTGAACTAGTAAGTAGCGAGTTAATTATGTGTTTGGATATCAAGTCAGATCAAAGGAAGACCCGCCTACCACTACTCTCAGAGGTTGACAATCAGAAAATAACAAAAGCAACATATTTTAAACAAGCAGCAATAACAGAAAAATGTTGATCCTAGAAACTTCAGTAAGATTCACTCAGGCAGTCATTCAATCAGAAAGTGTTCATTGATCAGCTTCGTAACAGAAACAGAACCTGCTGTTCCCCTGTGAGCAAGGAGCTCTCACACTCTAATGGGGAAAAAAGTGAAAGTTAGTGAAAAGAATGTTTGTAAAATAAATTGTAATATTCTTGGAGGTGTGTGTGTGTGTGTGTGTGTGTGTGTGTGTGTGTTGTTTAAACGAAGAAGCTTTAAGTAGTGGGATTTGCTGTTACACGTTCTTCTCCTTCAGTGTAAATGTTGATAGCCTGACTTTTAGAAGAATCTCGGACCTTCAGGATCAGCAGGTAATTATCTCTACACACCTCATTTCTTACCACGCAAAACCAGCGTCGGAGAGGAGTCTCAGTTCTCTCGGAGCATTATTTATTTATTGTGAAGGACTTCTTTTATAGGTGGTATGCCCATTGAAGTACAATACAGACGTGTGCACACGTACACATGTTAATGCACAGAAAGTCCTCTGGCGGAGAAAGGAAACGACCCCACTCTTTAATTCTTATAACTTGACATTACTCGATTTTTGTTATATTGGCACGCATCGCTCTTTTATTTCTGTAATATAATGTCTGAGAAATGTCTTCTGAGCTGGGCTTGGAGTGGAATGGAAAAGGCACCAGAGCAGAATTACAAACTGCAAGGAGTGACGTCACCAAAAGGGCGGAGTAGAAGCCGTCGCTCAGCTCCCCTGCCTGCGATGGGAACGGCCCCGGGAAAACCAATCACAACTATCCAGTGGCAAAATCACCAGCTGGTATAACCCTGAATTTAAAATAAAGGCTGTGACATTTCGTGGGGTCGCGCAGCAGAGGAAATCTTTGAGCTGACGACAAGGAAAACGCGCACCTCTGACTGTAATCCACCCGTTCGAGCTGACCCAGAGGCAGGAAGTCCCCCAGCCCCGGGGCACCCGGTCGCAGTTTCTAGACTGGGAAAAGTGAGATCATTGAGGGTCCTCGCCTTAGTTCATCCGAAGCGTGGCTAGTGCTGGTAGGACTGCCAGGCCAGCCAACGACAAAATGTGGAAGTGGGGCTGCTGGTCCCCTAGGTCCCCTAGAGAAACATAAAATTTGAGAGGCTTCGTAATAACCAGCCACACTGCAAGAGGCACTCCACTGCCCCACTGCCGGCCTTCCCACGACCTGGGTGAGTCCTTAAGGTCCTCTTCAGGCCCATTTAATTGAAGCATCCAAAGTTAAAAATAGTTGCAAGCCCTGCAGCAACCTGGTCTTGGGGCGCCATCTCGTGTCATAAAAGAGGCATTAACTCTGAGTTAAGGGAATCCTACATTCTGCACAAAACCACTAGACAGACTTAACTTTAAAAACACAGACACAAACCAGGCTGGACGGTGAAGATTGAAACAAACAAACAAACAAACAAAAAACCCCAACTTCTTCAACAACGCAAAGCCATAAAGGGGCATACAAATATTCTCACCAGATGAAAACAGAAGACCTTGCAGACCAAGAATTCAAAATGACTAGAGGAAACTCAGCAAACTCCAGGACACAGAAAAGCAATTCAAAAATTTATCAAAGAAATTTATCAAAGAGATTAAAATAATTTAAAATGAAACAGGAATTCTGGAGCTGAAAATTTAGAGTGAATGAACTTACTTTAACAATATAGGATATTTGGGACAACGTTGAAAGAGTCTAGAGGTCTTTTGGAGGTCAAAAGGGACTTGAAAACAACAAAAGGGTGAAATGTTTATTTTATGAAACAATAGCACAAAAAAGTTTAAACCTCAAGAGAGATCAAGTATCTAGGTACCGTGTGCTAGTCATCTTTGCATCACTTTAACAAGATAATTAACTTACAAAGAAAAGGGGTTTATTTTGGCTGGTAGTTTTGGACCTGTAGTGGCACAACATGGCAGAAAATGTGTCAGGAAAAAAAAAAAAAACTGCTCCCTTCATGGCTGGGAAGTGAAAGAGGAAGAAGAAAGGTTCCGGGTCCCTCTGTACCTTCAAAGGCACATCCTCAGTGACTTGAAGACTCTTCACTAGGCCCCACCTTAAGTTTCCATCACCTCCCAACAGTGCCAGTCTAGAATCAACCTTTAACACATGGCCTTTGGGGACATTCCAGATCCAAACTACAACATGCAGGAAGATTAAAGTACACCAAACAGCTTCAACACAAATAGCACTACCTTAAAAATTACTATTGAAATATTAAAAGTAAGAGAAAAAAAGAGGTTCTCAAGGCAACAGTAGGGGGAAAAATGCAAATAATACATACAGGTTGCCCAATGCACTTTACACCAGACCTCTCAGTGGAGACTGAGAAGACAGTGGATGATATATTAAGAGTGCTGAAGATCAAAAACTGCCAACCAAGAAGGCTGTCCTTCAGAAATTAAGTGGGGAATTTATCACAAGATCTGGCCTGCAAAAGATGCTAGAATAGTTCTTTAACATATAAAAAGCAAAGAGCGGAAGGTATAAAATACACTAGTAAAGATAAGTACACAAATAAATTCAGAATACTCCAATGTGATAACCATAGAATGTAATCCACTTATAGCCTTAACATGAAGGCTAAAAGAACTATTTAAAAAGATTGTAACTATGAGAAATTTTTAAAGGCTAGGTGATATAAAAAGATGGGAATTGTGGCATAAAAATTCAAAGTGTGAGTGTATGGGTGAACCTAAGTTGTTGATTTTTTTTTCTTTTGTTTGTAGTCAAAAATATCTGTTTAGAATAACTTGTATTTATAAGATGTAGTTTGCAAGCCCCGTGGTAATCACAAAGCAAAAACTTATAATGGATACACTAAAAATAAAGAGCAAGGAATCAAAACATACAACTAAAAAATCCCTTAACTACAAAAGAAGACAGTAAGAAAGGAGGAAACAATCAAGAAAACTAGAATACAAGCATCAAAATGCCACTAGCAAGTCCTTACTTATTACACTGATTGCCTTAAATATAAACAGGCAGACTGAAATTTCCAGTTAAAAGATGGTGGAGTCAATGAGTGAATCAAAACAAAACCAAGACTCAAATATATGATGCCTACAAGGAACTCACATCACCTGTAGGGGCATGTGTAGACTAAAAGTGTAGGGAGTGGAAAAAACGTTCCAAGTACACGGAAACCAAGAGGGGGCAGGGGTGGCTACACTTATATAAAAGTACCTTAACTCAAAAACTGCCAAAGTAGATAAAGAAGGACACAGTGCAATGAATTTTCCACTTTTATACCTCTGGGTAACCTCTCCCCACTTCCAGCACGATTGCCCCCAGACGGCAGGCAGCGTTTTCACCCTCGTTTGCCATATAAACTCCGGAGAGTAGTGACTTCTGCCTCTTCCTTCCAGCGCTTGGGAAGCTGCGCCCGGGAAAAGCACTGCGGGTAGGACCCGCCCCTCTCGGTGTTACGCCCAGCGCTGCTCCACGTCTCCATCCCCACAGCGCACCCCCAGTCCGGCCAGGCAGCGGCGCCAAGAACTTGGGGTGTGCGTGCGGCTTAGGGAGCTGCTCCCACACGTGCGCTTCGGGTTCCAGCGACAGCACTGGGGAAAGCGCTGCGGCGCACAGGAACACCCAGCGCGCCTTTACAGGCTCCCCGGGGCTCCGCTTCTGCACTGTGTCACCAGCTGGTGCTCAGAGGGAAAGGGCATGGCCGCATCCTGGCTGAGAAAATGGGCGCTCAGCTGGGGTGAGGGTGTGGAGGTGGAATAAGTGTCCCAGCTGGGCTCAGATCAGGAAGAGGGTGCTGACTGTGTGCGCCCCGCCGCCACCGCGGCTGTCGCCACCGGTAGTGGAAGTGGCCCGGACTGTGGGTGACGATCAGGAGCGCCTGACCCGGTACTAGCGCACCTCGCGCCCCAGGAGGGGGTGTTCTTGGGGAAGAAGAGCGGTGAAAATGCCTGAGGGGACTGAGGCCCCGGAGATAAGGAGTTGGAGTTAGGGGTCCCAAAGAGGCTCCTCAGCGCCTTGTGAGAGGAGGAGGCCGGATTCACAGCCCGAATTCACATTCCTCCTCCCCCTCCTCCCCCTCCTCCCCCTTCTCCCCCTCCTCCTCCCCTCCCCCTCCCCCTCCTCCTC